CAAAAAAAAAAAAAAAAAAAAAAAAAAAAAAAACGGCATGAACACCTTGGATCGGTTGAGAGACCGAAGGCGCACGGGTCCGGAAGGACAACCAAGAGGTATAGGACCCACCGGATTGGCAAAAACTCAAAAACCAAGTGCACCCAAATTGTTGTTGGGATCGGCTAGGAAAGAGAAAGCAAGGAGCATGGGCCTATTGGATTGGCAAAAGCTCAAAAACCAAGTGCACCCCAATTGTTGTTGGGATCGGCTAGGAAAGAGAAAGCAAGGAGCATGGGTCCCACCGAATTGGCAAAAGCTCAAAAACCAAGCGCACCCCAACTGTTGTTGGAATCGGCTAGGAAAGAGAAAGCAAGGAGCATGGGTCCCACCGGATTGGCAAAAGCTCAAAAACCAAGCGCACCCCAACTGTTGTTGGGATCGGCTAGGAAAGAGTAAGCAAGAAGCATGAGGCCCATTGAATTGGCAAAAGCTCAAAACCAAGCGCACCCCAACTGGGGCTGTGGTCAGTTAGCAAAGAAGAAAATGCACAGGGGCCCACCGAATCGGCAAAGGTGCAGAAATCCATAATAAAGAAAAAGTCCACTTGCGCATGGAATTGGTTGCCCACATTTGGATACTCCACATGGGGATAACAGTCCACAGTTGAAGCTTGAAAAGTTAGCAACGTGCATGAAAATTCATATTTGGATATTTCACATGCAAGATGTGGAAGCAACATGCATGAGTTGGTGATAGGCCAATAGGAATCACATTTTTGGGTTTGACCAGAAAGCCCAAGAAATAAAAGGTATGGCTTATTTCGGGCTCAGCCATGAGCCCATCACGGCGACATGCGCCCAATCCGAAGAAATCATGTTCCAAAGTACCACTTAGATCATTTTTCCCTCTCCACCCGCGAAGCGTGTAGAGAGGGAAAAAAGGGGGTACTGTGGGGACCAAATCTAACGTATCATGGCCTAACCCATATGCCACAACTAATAGACGTGGGATGATCGAACATCCCTCCCACTAGAGGAGTGCGGAACAAGGGAGACACAAATCGCTCGTCTAATCCCATTATCATGAAGTGGAGGAGGAGATGCACAAAGCTAGGGAAGTGGGGCTAAGCCCAAGACCTCAGAGCGCTATAAAAACCCAGCTAGACCTCCAGCAAAGGGACGAGAAATTCAACTGAACATTAAGAGTATGTTGCACAAACACTGACTTGAGCGTCGGAGTGACTTTTGCAGGTACTCACCCCATTTCCATCGTTCGACTTCGGGAACGTAATCCGGAGTTCTCTTTCAACCAAGAAAGCGTGCAGACTTCAGTCAAGAACCTGTGGAGGTATTTCTTCTTGAAAGAAATCCTACTCCAACAGTGGTTGAAGAGCTGGAAAGGGATGCTAATGAAGAAGATTGCACTGGGTTCTCTTCATTTTCTTTTTCAATCTCTAATCACCTACAGAAATTTTGTAAACATGAGCCCATCACGGCAACATGCGCCCAATCCGAAGAAATCATGTTCCAAAGTACCACTTAGATCATTTTTGAAGCGTGTAGAGAGGAAAAAGGGGGGGCACTGTGGGGCCCAAATGTAACGTATCATGGCCTAACCAATATGCCACAACTAATAGACGTGGGATGATCGAACTTCCATCCCACTAGAGGAGTGCGGAACAAGGGAGACACAAATCGCTCGTCTGATCCCATTATCATGAAGTGGAGGACGGGATGCGCAAAGCTAGGGAAGTGGGGCTAAGCCCAAGACCTCAGAGCGCTATAAAAACCCAGCTAGACCTCCAGCAAAGGGACGAGAAATTCAACTGAACATTAAGAGTATGTTGCACAAACACTGACTTGAGCGTCGGAGTGACTTTTGCAGGTACTCACCCCATTTCCATCGTTCGACTTCGGGAACGTAATCCGGAGTTCTCTTTCAACCAAGAAAGCGTGCAGACTTCAGTCAAGAACCTGTGGAGGTATTTCTTCTTGAAAGAAATCCTACTCCAACAGTGGTTGAAGAGCTGGAAAGGGATGCTAATGAAGAAGATTGCACTGGGTTCTCTTCATTTTCTTTTTCAATCTCTAATCACCTACAGAAATTTTGTAAACGCTAAATAAATATCAAAGAATTTAAAAACAAGCGCAGGGACTTGTCAATATGTTTGTCATTGAATATTGAACAGCTGAAAGAATCAATACCTTCAGGATTCATCTCATCGACCATGGTAGGATTGGTTTCTTCTACTTCATTATCATGAACCAGATTATCTGAGATACTTGGTATTGAGTTTGGAGGCTGTACTTTATAATCATGTTGCTGTCAGAAACAGATGGCAGACTCTCTAAGTTGGGTGCTACTTGACCGAGAGGGCTGACATTTTTCTCTTGCTTAGGAGACCATGTATTCTCATTGGCCTTCCAAACTTTGTCATAGCCAGATAATCTCATCTGTGCAGTAACAAAGCCATGCTCCATGTCCCTTCCAGAACTGCCACAAGGAGAAATGTTGTACTCAGGAAGAGAGAGAATCCTTCCCAAGGATGCTTTTTGGCTTCAATGTAGATGTTAGATACCCTTTGATCCGGAATACCATGATTTTCATGCTCCAAATGTATTTTAGATTCTTTCACTTTGCCAATCTTGATACCACTGGGAGGTTTAGCAATTCTTTCGATGTAGAAGTGCTCTTTACCAGGAGAACTTCCAACTTTTTCATTACCAACTCCTCTGTCACTATCTTCCAAACTCTAACGTTCATAGGGCAATCCGTTCAAAATTCCAATAGTAGATGCCCCATGCTGTTGCTTTCCCATAGCATTCTTCAATTTCCTTTTTATTTCAGAGAGAAAAAAAGTGGGAACCAACTCTTTCAGTTGTCCCTTTATTCCTTGCAATGTAATGGGATTCTGGGGATGGACTATTTTCAGTTTCAGAGTTTCGTAAGCCTGGAGGCCCAGGCTTCAGAATGACAATTCTCTTTGAAGCTTCAGACTTCTCATTTGCCTTCATTGGGTTTTTTCCCTGAGGCTTGATCTTTCTCCTGAAAAGTAACGATGTTTACAGATGACAAGCTTCTCAGATTGCTTTAAATCACCAAGCTTCTGTTCTAACAACTTAGACTCTGCAAAGGACTTAGATTCTTCATCTTTCTCTATCTGAGCATTCTACAAGTTTTGGACATATTTTGGCAACAGTGAGTTTGTATCTCGCAAAAGTTTAAGAAACAATTCCTCATCTGAACTTATGACCTCAAGTGCAACCATTAGTTCTCTGTAGTGGTGGATTTTCTGATCT